GTGGGTTGTCTTGCCAGCAGTGCTCACAGGGAGGCACATCAGGGCTGAGTTGCCAGTGAGGGCAGTGGAGCATCTGGGGCCCCCGAGGGCTGGAGAGGTATCAGCCACCTGCCGTTTCTCCTGAGGGGAGAGCTCCATCCAACCCTTTCCCCTGTGATACTCCTCCCACTGCTGGCAAGTCTTTCAAATTGCCACCTCTGCTTTGGGTCTAAGGACTGGCAGAGCTTGCCTGTCCCTGGTGTCTGGACCCTCTAATCACCAAAACCCAATGCAATGTGGACTCGTGTCCCTGGAGAAGATCTCCAGGGCCAGGCTTTCAGAGTTCCTGGGCTTCTACCCCCTCCCTACTCTGTTCTCCTTTTTCCCACCTGTTGGATGGTGGCAGGGGAGGGCTTGGGTCCTGCTTGAGTGTGGCTCTGCCACTTTATCCTTTACTGTGTGGTCTTCTCTTCCCCAGGTGTAGGTGGTCTGTTCTGCAGTCTTCAGGTCATTTTCAGGATTAGTTGTATTTGCTGTTATTTTCTTCTTTTATGTGTTTTTGGGAGGAGGTTTCCATCTTGCTTTCCTACTCTGCCGTCTTTTTCTCTGCCTCCCTCCAGCAACCTTGAACTCACTTATTCTAATAATTTTTCTGTGAATTCTTTTGGATTTCATGCCTCTACAGTCTTATTGTATGAATAATGATTGTTTCTTTTGTTCTTTTATAGTCCTTATGCCTTTTCTTTTTCTTGTGTTGATTAGAACCTCCAGTACAGTGTTGATGGGAATCATTCTTGGATTCAGTTTCTTATTACTAAGTATGATGTTTGCTGTAGAAGTTTTGTAAATGCTTTATGAGATTAAGTATGTTACCTTCTATCCCTGGTTTTCCAAGAATTGTTATTGTGACAATATTGAACTTTATGAAATGACTTTACTGCATGTATTAAGGTGTTTGTGAGACTTTTTAATTTTATTGGTATACCATATTAACAATGAGTGAATTTCTAATGTTAAGCCATCATTGTATCACTGCAATAAGTCCAACTCAGTCATGAGGGTAGTGTTCCTCTTATATATTGCTTGATTCAGTTTACAGTGTATTATTTAGGATTTTTTTTTACCTGTGTTCATAAGTAAAATTGTCCTGTAATAGTCCTTTTTTATGTCCTTGTTGTGTTTTGAGATCAAGATAATGCTGGCCTCTAAAAATGAGTTGGAGAATAGTTCTTTTATTAAATTCTGTGGAAGAATTTGTAGTTCGTCCTTCTTGTTTGCTAGTGAAGTCATCTAGGCCTAAAGTTTTCTCTCTGGAAAGGTGTTGTTTGTGGATTCAGTTTGTATTATTCACAATTTTAATTTCTTCTATGACAGTAATTAATTACTTGGATATTTGTAGAAATTTCTCACTTTGTATAAAATTTCAGATTTATTGACATAAAATTCGTAGTACCTTCTTATCCTTTTAATTGTCCCTAAGATTTGTAGTAATATCCCCTTTTTTATTCCTGTGGTTAGTTATATGTGAATTCTTTTTTTCTTTATCAATCTTGTCAAGGTTTTAAATTTTTTATTAGTCATTCAAAAAGCTGCACTTTGGCTTTGGTCCTCATTTTTCTAATGTTTATTTATTATTATCTTTATTTCTTTTTCTTTCCTTAAGTTTATTTAGTTTCTACCTGGTTTCCTAAAATAGATGCTTATTTTAATCTTTAACTTTACTTCTTTCTAATGTATGCTTATAAAGCTATAATTTTAAGGTAGACAGAGTTAAAACTGTATCCCACAAATGTTGATATTGTTTAATTCAAAATATTTTCTATTTTCATTCTGATTTTTCTTTGGCCTTGGGTGTTTTATAAGTCTCTTTCTTGATTTCTGAATATATAGTGACTTTTAGTTTTCTCTTTGTAATTGCACTATCAGAAAACTTAATTTAAATTAATTTAGAGGTGAAACAAGTTATCTTAACCGTTGGAAATTTATACTGAATCCTACATATGTCTATTAGGTCACTTACATTATTGAGTTGTTCAGTGCTATAACTTTACTAATTTATGTGTATACAATTGTACTCTCTGTGCTGATTATAGCTTTGTCTATTTCTTTGAGTATTTCTTACTTGAAATCTTCTGAAACCATTTCTTAGGAACTTACAAATTTGGAAATATATCTTCTTCGCAATTTGAACTTCTATCATTGTGAAATATTCCTCTCAGGTAGCCTTTCTTACCTTAAAGTTTACTTTGTCTAGAGTTACTGTAGCTACACCAGTTTTCTTTTTGATTAGACATGGTATATCTTTTATTCCTGTCCTTTTACTTTTAGCCTTTCTTAATTCTATGTTTTATGTGTCTCTTGTAAGCTTCATATATTTGGGTTTTCTTTTTCTAATACCATCTGACAGTCTTCAGTCTACAGCACTTATTCTGTTTACATTTAATGTAATCACTGATATATTTGTATTTAAATCTACTTTATTTGCTTTTTATTTTTTCCCACTTTATGTATGTTTCTTTTCTTGCCTTTTTTGTTCTTTTCTGCCTTTTTGTTTTGACTACTTTTTATTCCATTTTTTCTTTGTTAGTTTATAAGTTTTAAATGTTTTTACTTTCTTTTAGTAGTTAACCTAAAAATTACAACATAAATCTACGATCTTCAAAGTCAATTAATAGATACTTTAATCTTTTTCCCAGATAATGCATGGACTTTAATATGCTTTAGCTATTATATGATGCAGTTGCTATTGTTGTGTTTTGAATTATCTGTGTATTTTAAATCCAACACATTACTCTTATGTTTTATTCAGTCAGTATTCATTTAGATTTACTCATATATTTACGGTTTTCTTTGTTTTTCATTTTTCCTTCCCTGACTTTTCTTTGTTGGTCATTCTCTGTCTGCCCTTTAGTATTTCCTTTAGTACAGGACTGCTGATGACAGATTCTCTTGTCTTAGTTTGTCTGAAAATCTCTTTATTTCAGCTTCATTCTTGGGGGATATTTTGCTATGTATAGAATTGTAAGTTGACAGTTACTTTTTCTTTTCATCACTTTGAAAATACTATTTATTGTTTTCTACCTTGCCTTGTTTCTGTTGAAAATCAAGCCATTTAATGGATGCTTCTTTCTTGCTGACCTTTTTTTATGACTTTTTAATTTTTTTCTCTTGCCTTTAATTTTTAGTAGTTTCATCTATATATGGACTTCTTAGAGGTTGAAGGATTTCTTCAATCAATAGGTGGATATCTTTCATTGGTTTTGAAAAATGCTCTGCCATTATCTCTTTAGTATTCTACAGGACCTGTCTCTTCTGCTGTTATTCTTTTTACATTCAGTAGATCTTTTTATTGTGTCCTCCCTAACTTTTGCCTTCTTTTCTGGATTTTTCCAGAAAAAATTTGTGGTGTTGTTTTCTCTGCTTGATTTTTCAGTATTTTCTTCTGACTTAACTTCCAGTTCCCTAATTCAACTATGTCTTTCTATTTCCTTTAGCTTGGTTATTTTAAGTCTGTCTGATAGCTACAATATTTGGTCATTAAGGGCTTCTGGGTTTTGTTTTGTTTTTTACAGGTTTTCATTTACATTGTCTTGTCTCCTTTTGTGCTTAGTTACCTTTGATTGTGTGTCAGAAATAGTATTTGAGAAATTATTTGTAAAAATATTTTGAGGCCTGAGATTATGTTACTTTCCTCCAGATAGTGTTTTAATTTTTTTCTGCCAGGCCTTAGGACACTAGCAAGCTAGAATTACTTTAATCCAGTTTTGGGGATTGCAATTTTTTGGATCATTCAGATAACTTAAAGCTAGGCTGCAATGTCTGGAAGGACTATTATAATTTCAGTATATGCCCTTGTGTCTAGGATACAAACCTTGGGGATTATAGCATCAGGCATGGAGGTCTTTCTTACCAGGTAGCTGTCCACACCCTGGCATGGGTCTGCACTCCAATTATTCTCTACCCCAGGGGTTGGCAAACTTTTTCTACAAAGGACCAGAGAATAAATATTTTAGGCTTCGTGGGCCATATAATCTCTGTTGCAGCAATCAGTCCAGCCATTGTTATACAGATGAGCTGTAGACAGTGCATGAGTTAATGAGCATAATGTATTTCAGTAAAATTTTATTTATAGAATCAAGTGCAAGGCCAGATTTGGCCCATAGTTTGCTGACCCCTGCTGTAGTCTGTCAAAAGTTTGACTTATAGCCACCTCATCTTAAGTTTAAATCAGCCCTAAATCTGGGCTAGCCTCTCCTTGGTCTACCTTGTTAGCTCTCTCATACCTTCAAGAATATGTTGGGTTTTTACATTTGGTCCAGTTGTTCGCAGAAGGAGCTTTAATCTGAAATACCCAGGCTGCCATTATATCATATATAAGGTGACCAGTTTAAAAGCAATGAGAACTCTGACCTCAAGAAAGAAGTTTATTGAGTTGTTCTCAGAGAATATCTCTCACTAGCACCCTGTGATATATAAATTACTCTTTTTTAAATAAAACTGAGTTCAGGACATGTATCTGTAGTGTTCCTAGAGAGATTGTGCATTCAGGGCTAAAGTTACAGAGTAGTGTTTTCCATCAGAACTTTCTGTGTTGATGGAAATGCTCTGTCTGAACTGTTCAACAGGGTAGTCACAAGCTCCCTGTGGGTACTGAGCACTTGAGATACAGCAGGTATGAAGGCAGAACTAAATGTTACTTTTACTTAATTTTAATTAAGTTTAAATAGCCACATGTGCATATTTAGTTTGGAGTGGATGCAGCTTAGACTGAAAGAATCTCATCTCAGTAAATAATGTGTTCGTACACTCCCATGGAGTACCCATTTCCCAGTGCTCTTGCCAGAAATGTGTAACCTAAGTTTGTTTGATGAGTGGTACCTCACTAAATGTCACAGGCCTTGCAGAACGTTTTCACGATTCCTGCCACTCAATGAGATGCAAATAATGCTTGTCATCCTCAATGGGCCACATAAAACCGATGCAGCCACTCAATTTACATTATAACATGTATTTCTTTGCAGGGAAAGGGGCGTCTTCGTCGAGGAAACTATCCAGGTGCTTCCTCTCCTGCTGTTGCTCAGCTGCCCTCTGTGTCTGACATCCCGGAAGAGACCTTGACTAGTGAGGCAGCCGTGGAGACTGACATCACAGAACAGCAGCAGGCAGCTATGCAGCAGGAGGAGCGAGTGCTGGCGGAGCAGATCGAGAGCCTCCAGAAGGAGAAGTGAGTTTCCAGGGGGAAAGCGAGCAACCAGTTGTTACCTGTTTTCATTTCCTTCCTTCTTTTCTTTCTTTTTCCTTACTTGCTAAGTATTTCCTATCTGTCAAGGACTGTGTCAGATGATAGGGATGCAGAGATGACAAAGATATGTGGCCTGTACTCAGGTAACAGTGTGAAAGCTATCACCTCCGCAAAGGAAGCTCTGTGGCAGAGAGACCTAAAGCTGGTATGATAGTCATGACCTTGGAGAGGCTCACTGGGCAGGGTGGGCAGCCTTAGCCAAGATCCTAAAAGGGCAGAGAGCGGCACTGATGAACAGATTTGTCTCTAAAAGGAGGAATAAGGATTCTCAGTCCTTAGAAAAAGTCCCTTTCAAGAATGGGCATTATTCAGAATTCCATGAAGGAAGATTATTATCTGAAGATCAGTACTGCCATGGGGCCAGAACTGGATGGTCAGGGAAAGGCAGCAACTCTGGAGGGTGCTCAGAGACTCGGTAGAATAATCGGATGAGTTTAGGAGAGGGACAGATAAATAACCCTGTGACAGCCACTATCACTGGAGCAGGTGTGGGTAACACTACATCTTGGGGATTATCTGAATATCCCTTGGTTCCCCCTAAAGGTTCTGTATACTGGTTCAGTTGACAATGATGACTCTAAAGTTTTAAGGGGATTTTTGTTCCTGGATTCCAGGATCCCTGGATCCCATATCTGAGAGCTTGATCCATGAGGGGCTATGAGTCTTTAAAAGTATTTTTTTGCCTGTTGAAATTGGTTCTGGAATTTAGCCAATCTAAAAAAGCAGATAGGTCTCAGCTCTGCAGAACATTAAGGTAGAAGTGGTGTTTATTGACCGTGGGCTAATTATATAATATAAGAATGATCTGAAAAGAGGGCATAACTCAGCTTTGATGAAAATGGTATTCGAGGCATTGAAGGATGAATAGGGATTTGTTAAGAATGGGAAAGTCTTCCCAGAGAAACAAAAAAGAATGGGCACATTCTCAGAAGTGTGAGTGCACTTGGCTTATAACAATTATAACTGCTAGTGAGACTACCTTTCAGGAGATTATATTAGAGGTACTGACAGATGACTGGTTCAAACTAGATAGAGTAGAAGTGAAGAGGGCTCTGAAAATGAGGAGACTTGATGGAAAAGAGAGTAAGAATTGGAAGGATAAGGAGGCTGTGGACAGAGTGGAGTACTGGATTCAGGGCTGATGTATTTCCAGGGAATACAAACTCTAGGATCTGCCCATTGGAGAAAGTTGCCTAGATAAAGTGGAGGAAATGTTAGAAGTTGCAGACATAAAGGAACTTTAGTTTTCAGGTCTTAAAGTGAGCTTTCATAAAGACACTGTTTGAAGTAGATCAAGGTGATATCAGGCAGTAGTGAGAAAGCAAGATTAGGAGCCAGGTACCAAAGACTTCAGGTAATGAGGGGACATACTGAGAGGTATGTGGGTGACTGATGAGAGGAGTTGAGTATAATTTAAGTAGAGATGGCCTAAGCTTCAGAGGACAGAAAGATCAATGTTTTACTTCATTTAGAGGTTTCTCTAGATAAAGTAGAAAATACAGTCTGTATCCAGTTAGTAAATTTTGTGGAAAATAGTTTGAGAGCTGGAAGGAATCTTAGAGACCATCTAGTTCAATCTGTTTGTTTTGAGGATGAGGAAGCTGAGGTCCGGAGAGAGGAAAAAGTACTTTGCTGACATATTGTTAATAGTTTGCACCCCTGATCTCCTGATTATCAGCCCAGAGTTCATTTTACCAAAATACCTTACAGCAGCAGCATCCTTCCCCACTTCGCCCTTAGCCCTATTACAGGCCCCAGCCTTTGCTGTCTTTAGCCTGCACCGTTACTGTGGCTTATAGGTCCTTATCACCACCCGGGATGGGAACAGTAAGGAACGTGACTGTTTTGCTACCTAAATTTCTGACTTTCATGGAAAGTCTTGTTTCCTGTTGTCTTCTTCCACTTCTTACCAAAAGCTAGTGGATTTCTTGATTGTATCATACAGGGAGGAGCTAACATTTGAGATGCTTGTCCTGGAACCCCGTGCCTCTGATGATGAAACCCTTGAGTCTGAGGCCTCCATTGGGACTGCCGATAGCTCAGAAAATTTGAATATTGAGACTGAAGGTGCCATCTCTGAGAGATCAGGTAAATGAACATATTAAACAAAAGACTCCAGATTTGTTTTGCAGAGGGAGGAATAAAGAATCCCAAGCTGAGACGAAGTCTGTTTCAAGAATGCCTTGACCTTATGTGAAAAGGTGGCACAGTCCTAAGGAGTTGGAATATACTAGTCTTCATGAAGCTTCTTTATAAAGTGGTTCATTAGCCAAACCTTCAATGTAATGCCTTCTTTGGGGTAATTTAGTGTTTTCTCCTATATTTACCACAGAGAAAAGCCAATAATCACAATACATGTTGTCTTACTGACCTGTGGTCCATTTTCTAAGGGTGAGTAGCAGAAGTTGTGCCCTGCTGTGAGATGTAAAGCTTACTATACATCCTGACAGTGAGTTGTAGGCCTCTCTTAATGGCAAGTTAACCAGACTTCCTTGGGGTTGATTCTGAAATGATAAATGTAGAAATGGATGGGGAGTTCTTCTTGAAGTTATGACTGTGCACAAAGTAGGTCAGCCTGGACCCTCAAAATCTTAGCCCACCCAATTTCACATGTAAACAGTGATACCTATTCATCACGTGATGGTTTGCTTTAGAGGGAACTGTCATTTACAGCTTTTGGCCTCTTTTTGCTTTAGAGAAAAGCATAGCCCTGGGCTCCCTGAAGGCAGCTGGCAAGTCTGAACCGCTGAGCAGGTTGGGTAAGCAGCTGAAAAGGCAGCAACACTCTTGGGATTCAGCGGACGCCTCAGTGTCTCCTCTTTGTCCATCTAACACTGCATCTTCCCGTGGGACCAGAAAACGATTTCAGATTTATTCCAAATCTCCATTCTACCGAGCTGTTTCAGCTGGTGAGGCCCTGGGAATGGAAGGGCCCCCGGGCCAGACCAAACCCCTAGAAGACAGGCCTCAATTCATCAGCAGAGGAACCTTCAACCCTGAAAAGGGAAAACAAAAATTAAAGAATGTGAAAAACTCACCTCAGAAAACCAAAGAGACTCCAGAGGGGACAGTGGTGTCTAGCCGCAGAAAAACTGTGGACCCAGACTGCAGCTCCACCCAACAGCTAACTCTCTTTGGAAATAATGAGTTTATGGTCTGAACTGGCAGCTGTGTGTCCTTTTATGGCCACAGAGTCTTAAACCACATCTCGTCTTTGGGGCTGCTTCTCATCGCCTCATCCACAATAATCCATCCCACCTGTGGTCCCGTTTCCCTGCAAGCATACAACTAAGGCCTGGTGTGCTGAATTCCTGGGTCTTCGGCAGAAGTGGAAGGGCCTCTTTGAAGACTGCTGGGAATGGTGCCGGCTGTGCCTTGGCTGCTTTAATTGACTAGAGATTCCACTTAACAAAGCCACCCCGGCCCAGGGGACTTGGGTCAGTTGTGGAGGTCTTTGTAGTTGCCTCTCTGTCCTCTTTCCCCTTCCTAGTCACAGGTGTTGAACTCGGCGGGGATACACTGTGGGCCTGAGGAACCCACTGATTTCGGACATTTGAAGAAAGCATAAATCTTTCTTCACCATGCAGGCAAAAGTGTTTGGGTTTATTTGGAGGTAGTTAGGAGCTGGGTTAGAATATAATTTTTTTCCAAGGATTTATAAACAAAAAGTCTAAGTACCCTATTGTAAGATTTTGGAAAAATACTCCATGTTATATTCTAGGGAAAGTAAAAAACCAGTTGTTTCCATTAAGCCATCGCAGCATGATTCTCAGACATCTGGTTACACAATGAAGAGAAAGTCATGGGGTTTTTTGATGTTCAGTGTCATGGTAATTGATGCTGGCTTAACTCCTATTTAGTTCCTGCCAAATGCGCTGCATGGGCTGAAGTTTCGGTAGCCATACTGTTCTCATATTTCCTGGTCTGGGATCAGGTTCCTCTAATTTTTTTTAAATCTCCCAGAGACAGGATCATCTCTAAACATGAGGGTTTCATCCTAATCCATCCATACTTTTCTCTTTGCATAGAGTAAACCGAAGATCACATATGAACCTATTCATCTGCTGGTGGGTATCTACCACAAACTCAGTCAAATAGTGTGACCATTGAATCCCTTCTACTGAACATTTACACACAACACTGCATGAATAAGTGTTACAGAAAGCTGCCAAAAATATTTGAGTTTTTAATATGACTCTTCCAACTTTTATCTTCTTTTCCTCAGATCATCAGTATTAAAATAGATGAGAAAAAAAAATCAAGGACTACTTGAAACTATTTTTGTTAATATTCTGGTTACTGAAGTTTACTGTAAATATATATGTATAGTACACAGATTTCTTTTTAACCTTATGCTTCCCTCCTCCCTGTGGAATTTCTTTCCACAAATTAGGGGCCAGTGGACAGGGGAGTGAGAGCCACTCATTCCTGGGTTAAAGGAAAAATCAAACCATCTTTTTCACCTGAGTGTCTCTGTGCACCAGAGTTGTAATAGCATTTTAAGCTTCTTAGCATTTGTGGGATTAGAAATCTGTTTTTGCTATTTATAATATATGGAAAATGAAACATGATACTCTTTCTTGCGATATGTGAAAATGTTTATTTTTAAAGTTGCTAAATGCATTTGTCTAACTACCACTTGCACTGTTCTTAAAAAGAGCCTTTACCATCTGTAACCTGAATTTTGGTTGTTCTTTTCATACTTCTATGATTCGAAGTTATGGAAATACTAAGACTTGTTAAGACACAGGCTCTCCTGTTACACAACACTGAACCTCATGCCACTGCCTCAGTGGTTACTGTGGAGTCCCAGAGGTCAGACTTGGAACGTCATTCTGAGTGGCAGCTAAAGGTAGCAGAAGTCTTACTTCTCCCTGGTTTGGGTTCAGAAATGAGCTAGGGAAAGGAACTTTTTTAAGTCCCCAGAATGATGATGGTTACTGAGTAAATTTTAGATTTTATGTCCTCCAAACACCTGCCACCCTATTTGTGCTGTTTTGAGCAGAGTAATACGTGTAAAGCCTTTAGAATTTGAATTTCACAGAATCTCCTGGAGGAAAACCTAACGCCTCAGCATGGTTGGTCACAGTGGGATTGCTGGGGCCCCAGGGCCCCACGGCCGGCTGCACAGGCTGCGCGGCGTCCCGGGAGATCGCGTTGTGCGCTGGGCCTTCTGTGCTGTTGAGTGCTGGGTGCTGATGCCTACTCTCTCCCTGTGTTCCAGAACATGGGCTCGATGACCGTACAAGAGAAGAGATTACCCTTGTTGAATAATTTCCTTTGTCCCAGAGAAAACACATTTTGGCATATATTTTGCCTTCTAAATCTTTGTGGATTTTTTGGGGTTTTTTTTGTTCTTTGTAAAGTTTTTGGCAGTTAAAAAACTACTCATATAGGTCACTTTATAGGAACTAAGTGATGGGTGTTAAGAGACTTTATAGTTTTTCTCAGGGACCTGAAACCTGAATTTGGATAAAATTAAATAAAAGTTTTTGCTATTTGTTTTTTGGTTGCTAGATTTGTGGATTTCTAGTCATTTAGCAAGCTGCCAGAATGGAGGGTAATGGGGAGGAGAAATCCACGCAGTTGTAAGAATGGAGAGCAAAGTGTAGGACCCTCCCTTTGAAGGAAAGAAAGCTGTTGTTCTCATAGGATAACAGGCATTGTTGGCCTGATAGAGATAAAGCCATACTCTTAAAACTATAAGAACCAAGTACTATATCTCCTTCCATCTCATGCTAATTGGTCCTCTCCAGTGGTTAAAGTTATGTCACCACAAAGTGATGCGCTATCATAATCACTTGTGATTAAGATGTGTAACCTTAATGTGTGTCCAGTGTGGGTTCCTGTCACTTCTCCTGTGGTTGTTTCCTTTGACCTCAAATGCCTCAAAGAAAATATCTGCATGGCAGCACTGGAGCAGCCCCACATTTGGAACCTGTACTCCAAAATGTCAAGCCTTGTTCATTTCACACTTCGCCAGCCCCAGTCAAAGCCTAGTTGTCTACATTAAAGCCAACATATTCCTTATCATAGGAAATGTAATGGAAGAGAGAAGTGTGATTTTAGGGTCACATTGTATGTCACACAGAAGCAGATTGCCTCAACAGCAAATGCAGGGAGGATTCAGGGAGGTACATGCTTTACTTTGTAATGCTCTGTGTACTTCCTGCCATTTTAATTTTTCTGCCACTCTAGGCTTCTGATAACACAAAGGGAGATACAGCCTTTCCAGTGTGCATGTGGCAGAGACAGGGAGACCTGAGGTCAGGGTGGAATACCAGAGCCCTACCCTCTCATGTTTGGAAACCAGATACAGCTATTGCCCTGCTGGGAAATTATTGGAGATTCTGTGTTTATCACAATAGGATTGTTTTCAATGTCAAACTGAGAGGGTCCCAGAAGCATGTTGAAAAGAGGTGGTCCAGCAAGGTTCTGCAGGCCCACTTCAGTGTCTGTGGCCCTTGGAGTTCAGCTGTAACTAAGGAATGTATACCTTTCACAAGCACTTTGGTGAACTAGAGAGAAGAAATATTCTCAGGATGTGTTCAAAACTAAAAGAGTTTTAACTGTTAAAAGAAACACAGTCCAGATGGCTTTCCCCATCTTCCTTTCTCCTTTCTCCTCTCCTCTCAGCGGGGAGCTAGACGTGGGGCATGCGTCATTCTCTGTTGACAAATGTGTTACGTCACGCCAGCGCTGTTGCCGACACTGTGCTATCCTTGGTAGTAAAATTCCTTGGTACTTGTGGGAGTCCTCTGTCTCTCCATGCCCCTAAAATAATGTTAACCCCTTGTCTCTGGAACCACTCCCACATTTGATTTGGTGTTAAAGGGTAACAGCAAAATGATGATTGTGGAGATGGGTCTGTTAGGTCTTGTTTGTCTCTTGGTTCAAACTATTTTCAAAAAAGCCCCACAAAAGGGGCTGTCACCTTGCTATCCACCCATACTTAATAGGTATTTATCAGCCCTTTTAGGTCATATAAAAGTTGCACCTTTTTAACCAAGCAATTATATTCACTAGGGGAAAGGTGTGGACTACAGATTAGTATTATATTATTTTAATGGATTTAAAGTAATTTATAAGTATGCTGAGTGTAAATCTTTAAAAGACTATGTATTGTAAAAGGACATATCCTGTGAAATATAATATCATTTTACTGTTTAACAGAATAATTCTATAAGAAGAGTGATTTATCTCACCCATAGAACTGATTACATTCATGATGCAATCAACAGGCACTTTGTAATTTCCTTTTGGGTTTTTTTTAAGGGGGGTAGCAAGCAAGACATCATCTGTATAAAGTGCAGTTTGTGTCAGTCAAAATATGCACTGTGTGGCTACACAAAAGCAGCTTGATGAACAAATCACTCCATGGCTCATTAAAGAACAAAGCTTCTAGAAACAGCAATATGTGTGGTTTGTTTTCTGACCATTGTGGCTTCCACGTCAACCCGCTCCAACCCAGCCCTAACAACAGCAGTGATTATTATTAGACCATTTGGTTTGGTAAAAAAAGGATTGAGCCCCAGATTGACAAAGTGCAGAGGTGGTAGTTATTGGAACTCCACTGAATTCAAATGCAGGAGATCCAAGCTCTTAGTTTTCTGTAAATGATGCTAGCTGCCAGCTGTCAAGACTTTATCAGTTTAGAGCTAGGTGGGTGGCGAAGGCAATGAATCTGCATTTAGGATTCTCACCAAGAAAGGCCATGAAGCAGCAGTAATGTCCTGTTAATAGAGGGCCCGAGAATTCCAACCTAGTTTTTTTGGTCATTTTGTCCTGCCATTTTACTGCATGACTTTGGGAAAGTCATTTGCCATTGCTGGATGTAGTTTTTCTGTCTGGAAATAAGTTAATTTTCTCCAAGTATACTTCTCTGGATAACTCCTACTAACTTTTAGTTCTCAGTGTAAAAGGCAGTTCTACTTGGAAATTTCCTCTTCCCCCTTAAATTGGGTTAGATGTCTTGTGTTCTGAACAACTCAATATTTGTGGCATCAAAAAACCGTTTAATGTAAACTTCCCAAGGCAAGGAACATCTTGCTGACTCTTGGATCCCCAGCACTTAACAAAAGGCGGCTGCACTTAGGTACTGGGTGAGATCAGGGGTTTCCGAATGTCAAACCAGGTATAAGATGAAATGGCAAAGAAATTAATGTAGCGAGTTATCCCCTAATCAAGTTTTTTCTATTTATTTATTTTAAATTCTGAAACTATCATTCCCATATGTATTAACTTTACAGTTTTGTATTACATTGACATTACATAGAAATGGTAGTGAAGTGTTTCTTAAAATTTTCTTAATTGATCAAAGAAAACCTAGAAATCACATTTTTAAAACTTGCCTCTGTGATTACTCAATCCTACAAGAAGCCTTTCCAAATGAGAAGATGAGAGCAGAAAGGTGTAAAGAGTTAAAAAGAGACCAGAGCTTTCATTTTTTACATTTTGTTCTTTCTCCTAGATTGGGTAGCAGTTCAGCATCTTGAGCCAGGGACACACCAATGGAAGGAAATGAGACACACATGATATCTGTCTGCCAAGTCTTTGTCACTTCCCAGTTCTGTGTGGCCTTTTATCCACGCATCCCACAAACATACCCAACACCCACCTGCCTGAGGTGCTTGGAGTACATTGGTGAACAAAACAAAAGCTCCTTGCACCTGTAGAGCAGTGCTTCCAGTGGGGAGAGCCAGTGATGTCTACTAGATGGAGGCTAGTCATCCACAGTATCTGGATTCTGCTATCAAATTATATTTATAATTTAAATGGGTGCTTCTTGGTATCTTTGAGTTTTTATCTGCCTTTAAAAATATTCCCGTAAGGGTGAAGTAGGGAAAGAGTCTTACAAATCTGACAACTGGTTGAAAGGCCCAGATAGGCCCACAGGGACTACCTCTATATGCTTCATAACCAAAGGCACTTATGCATTGAAGGCAAAAAAGCTTTCTCCCCTCTCCTAGTCCTAACTGCAGTGGAAGCTGTTACCCATCTAGATTTCAGGGGAGCTGATTTACTGCAGAAGGTTGAGTAAATCCTGTGATCAACAGAAAGCCATATTGTATTAGGAAAAGAGAAGCCACTCAAAGAATTGGGGACTTGACATAAACATCAAGGAAACAAAGCTCAGAGAAGTACCCGACAGTTGAGAAAGCCAACACGGATCTCAGTCAAGTTCTAAAGTTCTCAAAAGCTTGTCTGGAAGCTACCAAAGAAGGCTGTGTGAAATCTCCTCCATCTTGCCACACAACTGGCTGCAACTGCCTCCAGAGAATGATGGCTTCTCGTTTACCTTCCAAATCTTCCTTCTGTTAGCAAACCATAGGGGTAGGGGATCCTGGCAAATGTAGTCCCTGGCATCTCTGCAACGAAGACAAGATCTGAGATGGAGGTCGGGAGGTTGGGGGTAGGGGCTGGTATTAATGCCAGGTTGACAGCAGATAATCCAGTTTATGTAGCTCCTCTAATTCTCCAAGGCTTCCCCTGGCCATCCCAAACAATCTTTCCCAGTGTAGAACTGCTGTGTTCACACGTCTCAGACACTAGCCCGGAGCTTCAGCTTCCTGTGTAGTCTTAGGTTCTCAAATTCAAGACTGGGACACAGCAGGGCTTATCTGGTCATATGTCAGCATGTTTTTAGCTAAGTGCCTCTGCCCAGGCTTCCTATATATGGTCCTTTAAACCTTATGGATAAAACTTTTGATAGGGAATTGGATAGGGTGATGGTATCATACACATCAAATGACCTGAATAACTGAGGCAAGTCTGATGCTTTCAGAAGATTGAGAGTCTCAAGTGGTTGGAGTGCTTCAGTGGGAGGGGTTTGTTATCGGCAGGATTGCCACACGCTCCACTGGGCACCAGCCTAGCTACTGTTTACAGAGCAGAGTGTTCAGAACCGTCCTTTCTCCATCACGGCAGGATATTTATGTCGGCTAGGATTCATACACAGGCCTAAGGGCAGAGAACCCCTAGGATTGCACAGATTTCTCACATTACCTTTTCCATCTTGATTTCAAACAAAAAACGCAACAGAATTGTTCAGCTAATTCCAGGCATGGAGGGGTATGGGGACGAGGCAGTGCCAGAGGTACGCAGAGGTAAGTAGATACCACCAAAGTCTGAGCCCTAAGCTTCAGTTTTTGCATTTATAAACGGGAATGATTTGTACCCCCAAATTCACCTGAGGATTAAATACCAATGCACATTCATGGTTCAGGCCACTGTCTGGTATATAAAATGCCTGGTAGATGCTAATTGTTAGTATTATTACTGTTTAGGCCTTCTGGGTCTGTCTTTGAGAAGTATGAGGTTTGTCTAAGCTTTATCTTCCATAAGGAAATTAAGAAGTGATGGTGATTCCTGCTCACAAGAACTGGCCATAGCTGCCTTTGTTGGTAACTCACCTTTGTTCATGGAGGGGTGAGGAAGGATAAGGAAGAGAGAGATCGAGAAGCCATGGGGTGGTGGATGCCGTCTGGAGAGAAGCTGGGGTGTTGACTCACGGGAGATTGTTTGGGCTTGAATTTGTGTCACCAGACTGACTCACAGGGGAATCTAGATGGGATTCGAGACCCTCTGCTCCTTCTTGCAGTGTCCTCAAAGGGAAGCCTGGGCCACATCCAGTCTCCTGCTTTTGTTTTTCACTCTTGTATTGAGGCCTAACGTGGGATAGTAGGCATGCAAATATTAAGTGCGCTGCTCAGTTAATTTTTATGAATGAGTGAATTTGTGAAACCAGCACCCAGATCAAAATGAAGAACATTTCTAGCATACCAGAGGCCCCCTTGGGCCTCCTCCCGACCACCCGACCCCCACTCCAGAGGTACCCACTCTTCCGACTTCTACCACCATCGGCAGGTCTCGCCTGTTCCTGAGCTTTGTGTAAGCAGGACTTGTACCTTCAACTTTTATGTCTGAGATTTATCCATGTCGTCACACGTATTGGTAGTTCACTCTTTTTCTTCTTTTTTTGCAGAAGAAAGCAGTTCCCATAGTCTTTATTTTAGGCATGGAGTTTTGCCCTCCGATTTAACTGGCCATCTCCCAGAGCCGTCACTACTTTTTCTTAATTTTTAAGTTTTTTATTTTTTATTAAGGAATCATTGATATACACTCTTATGAAGGTTCATATGAAAAACAATGTGCTTATTACATTCACCCATATTATCGAGTTCCCCCCATACCCCCTTGCAGTCACTGTCCATCAGTGTAGTAAGACGCCACAGAGTTCACTTTTTTAGTTTTTCATTATATGAATAAACCACAATGTATTCATCGATTTTACTCTCAGTGTACAGTTTGGGACTATTATGATGAATACAGCTGCTATGAATATGCGGTGGACATTTCTGCTCCGTACACATACCTACAAGTGGAATGGCTGGGTCACAGCAAATGTTTAGCCCCAGAAGATTGTTTTCCAAGTGGCTGCACCCATTTTCCTTCCATTTACATTAGTTTTTGAACATATCACAAAGGAGCTTCTCCATTGGAGTATTCCCTATGGTCTTGCGGAAAAAGAGGAGCTCAACACATTCAGAAGGGATGAACCTCAAAGAAGGCAGGAGCAGAAGTAATTTCCCAAACCTGAACGGGAGAGAGGCCACCATCAGGCTTCTTACCAGCTTCTGAGCAGGAGTCCTGGGGGTGGTGCCCCCAGGGAAGGCAGAGGGGAAGGGAGAGAAGAGAGGTACCCAGGGTGGGTAAGCATGAATTTTGAGGGAAGTCCCCATTCACTGGAGGGGTTGCAGCCACCTACCCCAACCCATGGTGGCCCCGTTCAATATGTTCAGTTGAGGAGTGTGATGAAAATAGTGAATAAATATTATGTGTCAAGATTATAAAATGAGAAGTTATTTATATTAATATATGTGAGTTGTTAATCATATATTTGACTATGATAATTATGATTATAATTTATGTGTTTTATTTGCTGTCCCTCCCATCTGCCCCCATGGTAATTTTTATATATGTATTTGAATAAAAATATAATTCCCTTCTGTAAACCACCTAGGATGATAGAGTTACCATTAGCGAAGTGCTCTGAAGTTGATGCGTAATTTTTGTAGCTGGGAAACTCATCCAGAAAAAAAGTAATTGTAGTAATAAGAACCATTTGCCAAGGAAGGGGTCGCTGGTGCAGAGGGCGGATGGGGAAGGCCCAAGGGACAGAGGGAGGGGTCAGACCTTCTTTGGGAAGGAGCGCCGACAGCTGTGGTCAGCACCCAACGTCAGAGGCCACTCCAAAGTGGGGCAGCTCCACCCTGAACGTCCTCCACGGAGCTCTGTGAGGAGCCTTCCCCACCCCCCAATTATCTGCTGAACTTGTTGGCCAACCCAAGGGCTTTCTTTCTCCTGTCAGTGCCAAGGGGATGTGCTGAACCGAGGTCACACACACTCCCCGTG